GCAGTGCGTTCGTTTGGTCACGTTCACACCAGCCTGGCTCCTAAAAGGAATGTTTGGTTCTCTTTTCCAGGTTGCAGATCTTCTCTTTCAAGCAGCCGAAGATGCCGGTGTACAGTATGACTCTGTGTGTGGTGTTCCTTACACTGCGCTGCCGCTGGCCACAATTATCTGCTCAGAAAAGCAGATTCCAATGCTTATACGGAGGAAGGAAGCAAAAGACTATGGTAAAACCTTCAGATCGAGAGTCTGTGCTTTCTTGTTGTCTTGTTTGGGCAATCTGTGGCTCTTTTGTAAAGTGTGCAGCATCTCCATCCCAGTTTAAGGTTACTGCTCCTGCTCAAAAAGCAGCTCCTTTTCCCCCCTCAAACATACCCACCACAGCATCCCAACCTGATCAGGTTCTCCCAGCTGGTTGTTGATGAGGCTGCAGCTTGAATCCTGCTGTAGGGTGTTTGGAAATTGTCGAGGAGGTGATTGTTTCTGTGCCTATAAGGGTGGGTTTTGTTTGTGTCTCCTCTTCAGCAGCATCTTTTTTCCCTTTTTTTTTTTTCCCCCCTTGGCACCATTACCATGCTTTTGGGTTACTGGCCTCTTCTGGAGACCAAGATTTATAACTCAGTTTTTCTGATATGCAGAGAACGGTGACACATTTCATCCCCAAACAGATTTTGTTTAAGTACTGATTACAAGAGGAACCTTTCTAGTGTCTTCATAAGCCATTTATTTGCTTTTGATAAAGGAAGGGGAAGACTGAAGTGTTAACCTACTGTAGCAACTTGATTTCTACATGTGACAAAAGCTATACACTTTCTATAGTATTTAATTAGAAAGTCAATTAATTAGAAAGTATGCTTGTCAAAACAAATGTAACTCCTATGTTGATGTGCCAGGCGTGTAAATGTTTGCTGTTCCTTCTTGTGAATGAAAAGTCAATTGTGACAACAATTAGCTGCCTGGCACAATGTTTCTGGTGTCACATGTGTTGCAAAGCTGTACTACACTTGTTTTCTAGGCTGTCATGGTCTAAGCACCACACTCCTTGCATAATGTTCTCCTGCTGCTTGTTGCTTCCTGAGAAAGCATACATCCTTTGTTGTTGCCCCCTGGGAGGTCTTTCATGGATGTGTGCCTGTTGGTTAGGGCAGAGGCATTTGGGGCTCTGCTCGTAATTGTTCTAGCAGGCATATTAAGCACAGAATGCTGCCTGTGGAAAATACGGAATATGCTGAAAAGCACCAATAACTTGGCAGCTTTAAAGATGTTCTAAATAACTGGAGAAAACATTTTGTAATTTGGAGCATTCAGTTCATGGCAATACTAAATTTCTATAGGTACCTTATCCAAAGATTTAAATTTGTGCAGTTAACCATATGTCAGTTTTGTTAATGGAACATAACTTCCGGAACACAAAGAAATACTTTATTAACTTGGAGAAGTAACAGTTTTTATGAGTTGAATTACAGATCAGTGACTGAGCTGTGATGAGAACTGTGACAAATGATATCGGGTAATAACTAAACCAATTCTCCAAAGAATCATAGAATCACAGAATAGTTAGGGTTGGAAAGGACCTTAAGATCATCCAGTTCCAACCCCCCTGCCATGGGCAGGGACACCTCGTACTAAACTATGTCGCCCGAGGCTCTGTCCAGCCTGGCCTTGAACACCTCCAGGGTTGGAGCATTCACAACTTCCTTGGGCAACCTATTCCAGTGCCTCACCTCCCTCACTGTGAAGAACTTCTTCCTTAGATCTAATCTAAACTTCCCCTGTTTAAGTTTAAAGCCATTACCCCTTGTCCTACCACTAGTCCCTAATGAAGAGGCCCTCCCCAGCATCCTTGTAGGCCCCCTTCAGATACTGGAAGGCTGCTATGAGGTCTCCCTGCAGCCTTCTCTTCTCCAGGCTGAACAGCCCCAACTTTCTCAGCCTGTCTTCATAACGGAAGTGCTCCAGTCCTCTTATCATCCTCGTGGCCCTCCTCTGGACTTCATATTTACAGTGAATGTGAAATCCCTATTTTCTTGAAATCCAGTTACATTGGACGTTCAAGATACGCTGCAGTGTATGTAGAACAAATTGATCTTTAGCATAACAAGTTAAAGTTTTGATACTTTTAAGTTTTTGGGGGAGGTCTTAAAGTTTCTTTATTTAGTGGAGTGTTTGCTTTTTATTTTTAAGGTACTAAGCGGCTGGTAGAAGGCACGATTAATCCAGGAGAAACGTGCTTGATTATTGAAGATGTGGTAACAAGCGGATCTAGTGTACTGGAAACTGCGGAAGTTCTCCGGAAAGAAGGATTAAAAGTGACGGATGCCATAGTGCTGTTGGACAGGGAGCAGGGTGGGAAGGCCAGGTTAGAGGAAAGTGGAATTCGCCTGCACTCTGTGTGCACGCTCTCCGGGTTGTTGGAAATCCTCCAGCAGCAAGGGGAAGTGTCTGTTGAGATGGTTGAAAAGGTGAAGAAATTCATTCAGGGAAATGTGTTTGAGCCAGTGGCTCAGAATGGTCCTGCTCCTGTGAAGAGGCAATGCAAAGAGCTGAGCTTCAGTGCTCGTGCCGAGCTGCCGGGGGTACATCCTATTGCCGCCAGGCTTCTCGTGCTCATGGAAAAGAAGCACACAAACTTGTGCCTTTCTGCTGATGTCACTAGCTCCAAAGAGCTGCTGCAGTTAGCTGCCACCCTGGGCCCCAGCATTTGTATCCTGAAGACGCATATAGACATCCTGAATGATTTCACCCAAGAGGTAGTAAAGGAGTTGAGAACACTTGCAGATCAACACGAGTTCTTGATTTTTGAAGACAGGAAGTTTGCAGACATTGGAAACACAGTGAAACAGCAGTATGAAGGTGATTATCATCAGCCTTGATTTACTGTAACTTCCCTGTCTGTATAACTGCAGTGCTGGCATGGGTTGCCAGGACAGACTGTGGAATCTCCAGCCTTTGGAGAAGACTCAAGGGGACAAGGCCCTGAGCAACCAGATCTAGCTTTGAAGTTAACCCTGCTCTGAGGGCATGACCTCCAAAGGTCCCTTCCAGCCTAAACCTTTTTATGAATCTATGGTTATGCTCAGTAAGTACTTCAGACTAGTTGTTTCCTGTGAGAAAACACAGTGTGGCTTCTTACAGCAGCCTGCTATTTTATGCTCGTGTGCTTGTTATGGCTGTCATTCGAGACTGCATCTGCAACTGTAGAACCATTTTCTTCTGTTCCGTATCTCCTGAATGATCTGCATACTGTGTTGAAGGGTAGCACCTGTGACACTGGATTTCTAGGCTACCATAAATGCCTTGGTGAGCATTAACAGTGACATGCTGAGAAGTGTTTGTGAAAAGTAAAACTGAGAGATTACACTTTGTGATTAGGCAGCTGCCAGAACTGTCTGAGACTGAACTTGTAACTGTCAAGCTTGAGTAGTAAAACTGTCTTCTAAAATGTGAATGATTAAGCATGCAGCTTGTGTTTAACTCTTGTTTCCTGTTTAATACATTTCTAATGAGGCTTTGCCTTTGTCTTTTATCTGTATTCTCAGGGGGTGTGTTTAGAATTGCATCCTGGTCAGACATCATTAATGCCCATGTGGTTCCAGGCTCTGGAGTTGTGAAAGGTCTGAAGGAAGTAGGTCTTCCTCTCCAGCATGGCTGTCTTCTCATTGCTGAGATGAGTTCCCAAGGGTCACTAATAACTGGTGAATACACGAAAGCTGCAGTAAGTAGGCAGTCTTTTTTTGGGTTAAAAGCTTGTAAAGTGTTGTGACAGGAGGTTTTATGGGCTTCTAATATTTGTACTTCTAAAAGTCTCTCCAGCTCTAGTAGTTACAGTCGTGTTTGTTTTTATTCCTTGGAGACCCAGAAATCTGATGGTGGTGGTTAAAGGTTGCAGCTGTAGGCTGGTCCTGTGAGGTGGTCACAGTTCATTCTCTGAATTCTAGTAGACATACCAAGTTTGATATTAACACCACCCCACCCGCGCCCCCCCCCACCTTTTTTTCCTGAAGTGATGTATTTCTAATTAGTTTTAATTCTTCATTCATTGTAATATTCATAACATAGAGAAGACCAGAAATACTCATGTTCCTGGCTGCAGGTGCAGCAAGATCAGTGAGGGCTGAGTCAGCTCTGGGTAACTTTGTATTGGTAAAGTAAGAGCAGGTGTTTGATGCTGCTGCCTTGCACAGCTTAATAATGTGTCAAAGAGTGGATGAGAAACACATTGCTAGTCAAGTTTAATTTTAAGTATATCACTTGTAACTGTTTACTGATCTGTTTCAGGTACAGATGGCTGAAGACAACTCTGATTTTGTTTTTGGATTCATATCTACATCTAGAGTTAGTAATAAACCAGAATTTCTTCACTTAACTCCAGGGGTGCAGCTGCAAACTGGAGGTAACTTCTTCTGAAATGCTTACAGTCTGTCTGTAAATACAGATCTAGCCTTCAGCGAAGAAGTGGCTTCTGAAGAAACTGATTGCTGATTCTCTGGTGGGAGGAGTCTCTGTTTGCCGCCGTTATGGGCTGCCTTCTGCATTTCTGGGTATGCTGATCTGAAAGGCAGCCAGCAGACTACACAGCTTTTGTCCGCATGCTGAGGTCTGTGCATACCATAAAGCGCAGTCCTTAAAACATGTAAAATGTCTTCAGATAGGTTAAATATTCACATGCTCAGTAGGAGTGGAAAAAAGGTATTTTGACAGCTACAGAAGTCTGTTAGTACTGCTGATACGATGTAGACGCAGCATGAATGAATTGGAAGTGTTACGCTGACATGACAGGTTATCACTGAACCAGGTAGAGGAGATCTGTTTCTCGCAATACTTAATTCTTACGAACCCTGAAGTGAAATTAACAGGGTTTTATGTGAATGTTTTGGGGTTTTGCCTGTTTAAAGCAAAGTGAAGGCTCATTTCAGTAATTCTGATTGGTGCTTCTTTGCATAACTGTTCCATCTATTGTGACTGGTAAATAATGAAAAAGGAGGTGCTGTCTTAAATTGTATCTGTTTAACAGGGTGGCTCACTAGTTGGAGACACAGTTTCTAGTTACGTGTTTAGATTGCTAGGGTGAGAGCTGGAACAGCATACCTGGTATCTGTTTCAGCACCTCTTTGAAGGATTTTAGTAGATAACACTTTTATAAAACTAAAAAAATAATGGTGTTTCTATTTCAGGTGATAACCTTGGACAGAAGTACCTAAGCCCCAAGGAAGTTATCAGTGAAAAAGGTTCAGATATAATTATTGTGGGACGTGGCATCTTGTCAGCTTCAGACCGTCTTCAGGAAGCAGAGAAGTACAGGAAAGCAGCTTGGGAGAGCTACTTAAGCAGGCTTGGTATTTGTGCAGAAGATTGAAAGCAGCCCGCTTTGCTAGTCTGTGAGCAAAGCTGATGGAGCTTCAATCATTGTGAGACTTCCAGTTAAATACATGGACACTTCAGCCAGTAGAAAACTGCCCTTTTGGAGAACTCTTACTAACTAAATAATTTATAATTGTTATCACACAAATTGTTGTACATGCCATGGTTGTGTTTTTTAATATTGGAATGTATGAAATCAAAACTTCATGCTCAGTCTTAAGCCTTAAAAGCTTTTCTCTGTTGAAAAATATTGCATGAAACACTCCAAGGGTATGTGGTTGGTTGTTGTTGCTTTTGTTTCGTTTCCTCACCCTAAAATTCCTTCTGACTGTGGGGTCAATATTTTAGTGTTCTTAATAAAATTCACTTGCAGACCTAGCCTGCTGCCCTACTCTCACAGGATTACTCAGAGGATTACTCAGATCTGCTGTTTCCAAGGAGCAAATATGGATGGGTCTTAATCCCACACTGTGAAAATGAATAATGAGATGTTTAATAAACACTGTTGCTACTGTTTTCTTTTCATGGGATCTGTAAGTCCTTCTTCTGTGGCAGTGCTAAATACCATTTTCAGAACGCCAGCATTACAAAATTCACTCTACCATGACTGCAGGAATTACTCATGATTCTGTTTATGGGAGCTACGAACAATTTGTCAGAGCAACTAGTTATTGTGTGCTTAATTACACCAGAGCTGTTCATTCCTTTAATGAGAGGAACCTCTAGACTAGGAACAACTGTATATGGTGAGAAATGGCTTTTTTGGCATAAATACTTGCTCTTCACTAAGCCTTGCAAAATAAACCTGAGTTATGCTGAAGTTGACAGAGTTTTTGTTGAGTGTTGGTTGGGTTAATCTACGCAGAGTGTCTCAGACCAAGGGATGAAGTCTTAGTCTTAGACTGGGCTTTAGGCTTCTTGTATTTGTGACAGTGTGGTCTGTATGCAGTCAGGCTTCAGAAACAAACAACTGGATGACTTCCTCGCCGTCTGAGCGTGTTGGAGGCGGTGACTTTACTTTTACATACTTCATTCCCTTTGATGATGCGGATGCTTAGGAGCCCTAGGAGTTGATTGTCGTGGAGAGGATATTAAAACTTACTTAGCGTGTGTTATGTTTTCCCTTTGGGCTACCATTTGCTTCAATAGTTGTCTTATGTATTGTAATTTACATCTGGAGAACTCCATCCAGGAAAGACAGAGACTCTTCTGGCCACCTTTCACATCTAGAAATTGATGAGTGTGTTGTATCTTGTGCAGCCTCGACAGTGTGTGAGTCCTGGTACTTCACATCAACCTCTGAGAAATTCCAGTCCTTCCAAGTGAATGGAGGATTTGGAATTTGTTTACTGTCTCATCTTAATCATGTAGTGGCCTTGAGGTCTGCAGCAGAAACAAGAGTGTGTCACTTAAACTGTTTTGCAGAAAATCACTTGTTCCACCAGAGGGAGCTGAGATTCTGTATTTATTTTTTTTCTAGTGCAGTCAACATCCCAGCACTTCTGCAGCTAATAATTTCCAGTGATGATGGTACCAACTCTAGGTATGCTTAGGATCAAAATCTGTCAGGTTTTCAACAGGTTGCACCCATTTAAAACAGTAGAGCTTACCAGAATGCTGCCTTGGGCTGGAGTTCACTGTTCCTTTTTGTAGGCTCACTGTTAGTAGTGCAAGCAGAATTTTGTGAGTTCAGTGGTCTGGTATTTTCCAGTAGTTACGCTGGATCCACACGTTAAGCAGGTGCCTGACATCCACACAGCTAAATCCCTGAGTAGACTCTTTAGAGAGCTAATTTATCAGGCCTCTACCTGGAAAAATAGCCACTGTGTTTGGAGACATGGATGTGATCTAATACCCAGTCACTTAGAGGATGTGTGCAACTCATTTTTTTTCATGAAGCAAGTTCTGAGGAACAGATCAATTGGAAAACTTAATTACACAGTCCTTCATTGTGCACTCAGTAAATCACCCAGAAAGAGCTGTATTGCGGTGCTTCATTTGACACCAATGTTGCAAACATTCCAATTAGTAAAACAAAAACATGTTACCTCCTATATGCATTCTTCTGTCAGAATGATTATAGAAAACAAGTGTGTTCACTTTCTTTGAGGCACCTGAAAGTGATTAAAAATCCATTTCAAATTAAGAACAAATGTTTATTTCCTTGCTTGCCCCTGCTGCTCACATTCATCGCATGGTTCCTGCTGTTGGTCCCAACTGTTCCTAACATGGGAACTAGGTCACAATTTACAAAACTCATTTGCATCATAATATACGAATCGGAAAGTCTTGCAGTTCATTCTCTGATCTGTTTGAGTCTGGGGCAGAGGCATAAGGCTATATTTAAATTACTGGGTTATCACATGATTTATATTATCTGCCGAGTAGGCATTTATATGAAATTGTGATCCTTAATCCACCCTGGAGTATGGTTGTAACAAAATGAAAGGGTATCGTGCTTTTCATAGTGAAATAAGACTCTGATCAAGTGTTGTCAGTGCTGGCAGGAGAAAGAAGGCTGACTTGCTGATATTTCAGAGCGGCTTAGCAGGGACTGTGTGAGAGACCAGCACAAGCTGGAACCATTAAGGAATTGTTACGTAGCTTTTGATATTTGTATGTAAAGCTCATTCTATCTCTCTGAGGCTGTGGGTATCTCTGTCTAGCACAAGGAGTGCTGTGTCAAGAGAACCCAGCCTGGACACTTCAGTCAATGTAACTGTGTAAGTAGAGTGCTTTACTCAGACTTAAAATTCTTGTAAAATCTTGATAAACCCAGCACTGAATTAAATACAGCAGGGTTAAATTTTTTGTCCTTAAAAGCATTTGTATGTCACAGTATCAACATTGCAATAATTGACAGGTCATGCTATATTTTCATTAGCCTTTTCTATGGAAAGTTTATTCAAGATTAATCCCAGAAAAATAACTGAATCACTTCCGTTTATGTGGAAAGCCTGTTGCTGTGGCTTTTTTTAGCAAGTGACACAACCATTGCATTTAGGGAACAGAACCAAAGAATGTGAAAAACCCAGAGGAAGTTTCTTTCCAGATCTGAGTTTTGGAGGTCACTGTCTCAGGGAAATGCTCTTTTTTGGACGACGTGTAAACTGGACTGTGGGTAGACAGGCTGGATGTTTTGTTTGTTTGTAATCACTCTGTTGGTTCTTGGTCAGTCTGTACCACAGTGACAAGTACAGCTTCGTGTCTGAATGATGAAGCAAACTAAAACTCAGCCTGGTGCCTGCTCCAGCCTCAGATTTTCCTCTAAGAAGCCTTTTGGCAGATGTTCGCAGGCTGAGAGCAGTGACCATGCCTGCATGTCTGGGTTGCTTTGTCCTCAGTCTTGGTTCTCTCTTTCTACATGACCCATGTTCTTCTCTGAACGTTTTCTCATAAGCTGATGCTAGCTGCAATCAGCTTGTGAAAATGCAGGGTTGTAGGTGGAGGCCAGACAGTGCAGAGAACAGGAGAAAGCCCAAGCAAGGCTCTAACTGTGAAGTTCTTGCTTATGGCATGGTCTCCTGAACAGAAGTGTGATGATATGCAGTGGGTTGCATTTAGTGTAAATAGGTGTTGCAGAGGAGAAGCCAAGCTAGTGCAGTCATTTTTGATCTGTTCCTGAAAAACTAGTAGTACCTATACAAAAAAGAGTTTACAAACAGGACTATTTAGATGGGAAAATTCTGCAGTGTTCCCTGCAGCTGGTAATTTCTGCTTCGCTGAGAGGTATAATTTTAGGCTGATGATGGGAGCAGCCATAAAGGCGACCTGATTATAAGGGGGAAAATATTGAACAGAAGATGTCTGCACAAAAACACACCAAGAGAAAATGCCTGCCAGCCTGGGAACCAGAAGTGTCCTTGAGGAGTGCAGCTGGCATCTTTGAAGTGCAGCTGAATACCAAGAAACCAGAGCTATCCTGAGATACCACCAATGCAAAGCACAAAAACAAGGAACTATAACAGCAACTTATTATCTGGAAAGGTGAAAAAAAACCAGTATGGAAAAGGAGGAAAACATCCTGAGAAAGGAAGAATCAGTAACTGCTACTGGTTGTTCTAAGTGACAGTACAGGAAAACAGTCTGATAAAACAAAAATTGGTCTGAGAGAATAGAAAACATCACCTTGCTGTGCCAGGTGAAAAATAGGAATTAGCAGCACCTATTGGCTGTTTTAGGGGGTGCTGTCCTACACCTCTTTATGTCTCTGTAAAATAAAAAGGACTTACTTTTCACCCAAAACGGAGCCTCTTTCCCACACAGGAACCCGTTTTCCGCATTATTTCTTCAGCAGAGCAGACCCTCGCCAGGGACACCAGGCTGACTCTGGGCTTCATCATGCGGATTATCATCCAAGTGAGACTTCTGTTGCCAACTGGCCCCACTGCTGGGATCAGTGTGATGAGAACTTGCTACTGGTAACACTTTAAAATATATTTATATATATATATAGAAAGTCTGCATGTAAGTAATTACTGATAAGTATATTTGGTGCTTTACTAGTCATAATTCTGCGGTAGTTTGTAATATTGAAACACAGACTTGCTGCTAATATTGATTGCTGCTGCTGTGCACATATGTATTTGCTTTCTCGTAGTAAGTTGTAGTAAGGTATACTTCTTTTGCCAATCGTAACTATACTTGCCTTGATAGTAGTAAACTGTAATTAAGTAAAAAACATGGGTAATAAATCCTTTGTGTCTCTGTGCATGACAGAGTCCAGTAGGGCAAGTAACAGAACTGGGCTGTGGCATTAATTGGTATCAGGAGTGGAGTTCTCTGATAGACAGGTCATAGATGCTCAGGAGGAGGCAGCAGCAGAACAGTGAAAAAGGCAAGAGGCTAAGGGATAGAAAACTCTTCAGTGGGACAGGGATTGGGTGTCTGAAAATTGTTCACATTGGGAAATGCTGTGACCAGAGTTTCAGAAGTGGCTCAGGGTGCTCATAAATGCAAAGCCAAAAATGGCCAGGGGGCCTTCATCAGGCCTCTCATGGGGGTATTGCCAGCTGTGGGTGCTTTGTTCAACA